CATCTGAAACTAGTGCAAAATGAGTAGCCATTTTGCAAAAATTTTAAAACCTTATAGTCACTCTTCAGATTCTTTTCCTCTTCACCACTGTCTTTAACAGAGCTTTCTGATTTCCTATTATAATAAAAAAACATTACCAAATAACGAGAAAAGTACAGTATCCCTTTCTTTCTTACAATAACCTTTATAATAAATCATGAACTTCAAACGTAAATGATTCATACCTGGGGCATATTTCCTGATGTTGCCTCACTTCAGTTACTGGCAGTTCCATAAAACACTTCTGGCACTGCACAATTGGTGCAGCAGACGTGGACTATATAATTTCCAGTTTCATGTCAATGATATGGTAAGCACATAACTGAATTATTAAATGATTATCAACCAACTAATTAATTGAATAAGTGAGCATGCAACTGGCCATAATTAAACACAAAAAATAAATACAATGATAAAGTATCAATACAAAACTAAATGAATACAACACTGAATAAATAGACAGATAAATAATAGATAGACAAATAAATAAATAAATACAATCAATCAGTAAATTGGATAAATAAACATGTAAATTAATAAATTAATAAATAAATAAATGAAGAAACAAATGAATGAATGAACGAATGAACAAATTAATTGATAAATGGTCATAAATAAATAAATAGAAAAAATAGATCAATAAACAATTAACACACAACCTTTGCCTATATACCCTACCTCAAAAACTTGTTTTCCTTGATTGGTGGTGTCATGTCCAAATTGCATTGCAGTGGGCGGATGTAGGCTACAGCCTGACCCAGGCATGCGGAATCACGAAGGACTGTCTCCTGATGTGTGATGGGACTGTCTCCTGATGTGTATAACATAAGCAAAAAAACTCATGAGTCCACGTATCACGCGGCTTAAAAAAAGAAAGTCCTTCTTTCTTCTTCTGAGGTGGGGCAGGAGATTGGTTCCTACTTTGCGATGAGAGAAATTCACTGCTACTGCCATTGTTCCTTCCTGTTCTGCTCCCTCCTGCTTCAGGTGGGTAAGGTGTGAATAGCAATCCTAAGTTTGACACTATTCGTTCGCTTCGGTTGTTTGCCGTTGGCGTTGCTGGAAGCTGAACAGGTGGAGTACTTGTTGCTGTTGATTCACTTGATTGACTCTGGTAAGCTCTGGAAAGCAATTCGGTCGCTTCTTTAAGCAATTTTATTCCTTCGTCGATGCTGCCAGTGCTGTTCTTTCCGTCCGCCATCTTCCAGCAAAAGCAATTTCCATTCCCCGCGCTGTTTACACATGGTCGCAAGAACCAAATTGAGCTACTGATTGTCATACAGAGTATGACGTAAGCATAATAGCATAATGAAAAGCATAATAGCATAATGAAATGCATAATAGCATAATGAAATGCATAATAGCATAATGAAAAGCATAATAGCATAATGAAAAGCAAAATAGCATAATGAAATGCATAATAGCATAATGAAATGCATAATAGCACAATGAATGGCAAAAGTCACAATGAAATGTATAATAGCATTATGAAACGGCAAAATTTATCAAGAGATGTCGAAAGGCATAATTATAACCATAGCGAAAAATATAATCATATCACAATCGCCACAACTACTGTATAATAACAATACAGAATTGCATCATGCCATTTTAGAAGTGTAAAACATCATCTTAGCAAAGCATAATTGCATATTTATATTTTGGCGGTAATCACCCTTCATAGCAACTGGAACTGAGAGACTTTGGTTTCCTCTTTTCAAAGGTGAAGATTCTTTACTTGTGGAAAAAGGATATGATTTTGTTTATTCACCATGTAATGTGATACAGCAGGACAGTGTTGTCATCCTTCGACAAAAGGAATATCATGTAATTGGAGTTGTGCAAGACACCTTAGATTCAACAAGAGATCTAGTTCGTTTAAACCAAGCTCCTGATTTTAATTCACAACACTGATGGCTAACTCATAACACATATCAGATTAAGAAGCCTGTTGAAATTATTGCAAAATCTTTGCATATTCCATGTGCTAAAGTGTTTCGTAACATTAACCTACAAGGAGGATAAAATGTCGGATTATGGGCACATCGAATTGCGATTCTGGAATGCGTCTGTTAATAAAATGGGCATTTTAACACAGGATGTTACAATTCCACCTGCCATGTTTTTACGTATTTTGTTAGCAATGAATAACACTTTCTACAGGATAATATGGGGTTGCAAATATGATTGTATTAAAATTCAAAACATGAAAATCGTTTCATTACAACGAAAACATGAATATTGATTATTACAGAAAATTTGTGAATTTGTAATATCGTAATGATTATTATTCAACCATAGAATAATAACATTATTTGTTACGCATAAACCATTTTCATAAACCCTTGTGTCAAAAACAATCCTATTAAAATACTTATCACAGTAAACAACAAGATCAACATTTTCCTGTTTTAGGTAATTCTCATAGACTGACTATAACTGAAACTTTCCTGACAGGAAAGTTATTTTTTTTGTTAATATAAATATTTTCTTTCGTAAAAACATTAATCCTATTATTAATCCTTCTAAGCAATTCAAACTTTTTTGGGTTTCTCAAATGAGATTTCAAATTGTATTAAACCAAAAAATTTCAAGCAATAGAGAAATATTCACCTCCTACAGAGTAATTACAGGCCTGGTATCATTTACGGTGAAACATAAATCAAAGGGGAAGGAAAAAAATATGCAATATTATCTTAGCAAAACGAAAATTCAAAAATCACTTAAGAAAAAAGCTGGGAAAAAGTTTTAGTCCGTACTTTGCAAGAATAAATAAAACTATACAAAAAAATTCTACAATAAAATCACCATTGATCACCAAAATCACCAAATCATCATTTATTAAGCAGAAAAAGCTGGAAAAAAATAAAATAGAATGGACAAGAGACCTGTACTTTATTTTCTAAAATATCATTAAATTAAAAAGTTTGTTTTGCTAATCTTGCTTTTAGGGGACTGGGGAGGACTGGGGGATAGAGGGGGGATTGAGGGGACTAATTTTTTCCACTCAATAGAAAAATATACCATTCAATAATTGTTTTTGCAACACTGCCTTTATTGAAGTGCATATGCAAGGAAAAATGAAAAAAATTCAACTGTCAAATTCCAAAAGACTTTGATGCCCTTTACTAGGTAAAAATGCTTTTTGGTTGATGTTTCTGAACAGTCATCTGTTGCACAGCCCTATCAGTTTGAGCCGGTTGCTGATAGCGATTACGAAGAAGATCAAACTGACGAAGACAGAATTTTGCGAGAAACCCTTGTAGCACGATTAAAAAAATCTGTTGCAGTCAGTTCATGGTAAGTTTGAGAAGACAATTTAACCCGTTCTCTACCGGAACCAAGTATTCCCGTACATATTTTCGTATTAGATAACGTACCGGAACCGGGTATTCCCGGTTTCTGCATGTGGTTTACTTATTTACCATATACTAAGAGTAGAAAAGACCGGAAGTATTTTTGTGCTGATTGTATTACGAAGCAACAATAGGGCTTACTACCTACCTGTGGCCGATGGCGAAAAGCAACGGCAAACACGCACGTTTTTAAAAAAGACCCGGCCCCACAAATAAGGCCATTTACTGGAGCTAATGAGAATGGTCAAGTGCTCGCAGACATTCCTGAAAACTGTACTGCTCTCCAGTGTTTTCAGCTGTACTTCATCGACGAAGTTTTTGATATAACAAGACGCCTGTTCTGGCGTTAACTCCGGCGCACGTGCCAGTCTTTAATATAGAGCTTCTGAACATAAACAATACAGTTCATATTCGCATTTAGATACCTTGCGAACCTATAAATGTTCGATCGCGAAATTCAGAAGCACATCGTACTTTAGAAAGTGTAGAAGTTCAATTGTTCAAAAATGTAAATAAACCGCATGATACATTCGCTTTGTCTTACACTTTGCCTTTGGAATTCGCGCTTATATAGTTATATTAAATCTTCAATCCTGTGCAAACTACGATGTGTCAACCTGCCCATACACGACCACATCATCTTGTTAAACGGCAAAATAGCAGTGATATTATTAAAATAGGACCAGAATCAACATGTATTAGTATATTCTGACCCCAATTCAATCTAAACTTAATCGAACAGCATGAAAACAACGGTTTATTCGTTCCTCTTGGAGGAATTGCCGTATCATGCGAGCGAAATCGCATCGGAAAATTAGCTAAAGCTGTACACCACAACTCTTGGGAGATAAGACTGGGACGTAGATAAATACGGTCACATACACGTTTCAAATACTAGAATGTTTCGCACCATTTCAGACTTGCGACGACTAAAAATAAAAAAAAAAACAAAAAAACAAAAAAACAACAAAACAAAACCGAGGCGAATTTTCAACTCCATCGCTGACGCCGGAGTAATTACTAGAGAAACTAATCGATATGCACATCAATACATAGAAAGTAAAGGGGGCGAGGATAATTTGTCTACTTATGTTATTGGTGGGTGGATGTTTCAGTTGGTGAAATGAAGCTGTTCTTTGGCCTTTTGTTTGCTATGAACATAGTCCAGAAGCCAAGCATGAAACTGTGCTGGAGTGTGCGAACTATTTTGGAGACTCCAATGTTTTCAAAACTTATGACACACACAAGGTTTGAAACCATATTGAAATTTATCCATTATAATGACAACACCACTCTCAAGCCACAAGGTCATAATGAGCATGATCACCTTGGAAAAGTAAGGCCTGTTTATGATTTGATCACCAGTGCTTTTACCAGTGTCTACACCCCAGGAAAGCATATTTCAATTGATGAAGCAATGATCAGGTGGTTTGGTAGAGTTATCTTCAAAACCTATAACCCCAGAAAGCCAGCAAAATATGGGATGAAAGCATATAAACTCTGTGATGATTCTGCATATACCTGGAAATTTGAGATGTACACTGGACAGAGAGACCAAACTGAAATAGATGATGGTACAGGCATAACATACCAGTGCTTAGATTGATGAAGGAACTACTTGGAAAAGGTCATCAGTTGTTCATGGATAACTATTATTCATCTCCACAACTATTTCTTGATCTTATTGCCAAGGATACACATGCAGTTGGAACTGTTCGAATGAACCGAAAGCATTTGCCCAAAGAAATTAAACCAAAAATGAAGAAAGGTAAGTATATAAATCGCTGATATCTTGATGAACCACAGTTTCATCTTTTAGGTGAGGTGCACTTTCGTCGTTGCGGTGAATTACTAGCACTAGCCTGGTGTGACAAGCATCCAGTGACAATGCTAAGTACAATGCACACTGCAGCTCTAGGGGACAGTGGTAAGAAAGATAAGGATAAAAACCCCATAATCAAGCCAAATGCAGTCATTGATTACACAAAGCATATGGGATCTGTAGACACCAGTGACTTCCTCACAGGGGTATACAGGAAAGCCCTCAAGACTTTCAAGTGGACCAACAAATTGGTGTTCTACTTGAAAGATCTCAGTTGTGTAAATGCCTATATAGTCTACAAGAAAGTAAGGCCTCATGAAGAGAAATCTACTTTGTTTGATTTTGTTACAAACTTGGTTGAACAACTAATTGCAGAGGGGAACAATGCAGATGTCCACAGGCCTAAACCCAGCCGGTCTGGACGAAGAAGCATTGAGCCTGATGACCAACATCCCTTTAGATTGGAATCAAAGTCCTCTTCGCACTGGCCAAAAAAATTGCCTCCTACTGATAAAAAAGACAAGCATACTAAGCCTTGTCTAGTGTGCAAACCACCAAACACCGGTAAAAGAAAGCAGGCCACGGAGAAAGTGCCTCGTCCAGAGTCGCGCTACTTTTGCCCGAGGTGTAACTGTGCTCTCCATCCAGAATGCTTTGAGCCATTTCATACCAAAGTTCAATTCAAGAAGTAAACCTGGAATTATAAAACTGGAGTAAAACTGAACATATATTAAAGATCTCAATTGAATAACGGATGCAGGTTTCTGACATTGTTGTTTAGTTTGAAGTTTATTTCTGTCTGCTTTCCAGGGGGGGGCCACAGATCAAAACTGATGACGCCAAATACATTTGCTGTATGTAAACTTGACATAAATGCTCACTTTTCATACAGGAAATAGGTTTTTTGTAGTATACTTATAGCATTTTTGATGGTTGTTCAAAAACGCTCGATTTTGGCCAGAAAATCTGGTCCTGGGGACTAGTGCAACCAAGAAAAAACTGGTAGCGAATGGGTTAATGTTAAATCATTCCTCATATTCTGCTTTGTTTGACAAACGAAATGTTTATAATAGGTGTACATGTGGGCATTGTAGTGATGCTTTCTTGGATGATGCTAGGAAGTACCAGTGCTGTAAAGAGATTTTAGCATGTATTGCAAAATTCACAAACGATGGAAAAGATGCAGATTGCATAACTCGGCACTGGGACTACACTATTATTACTCTTCAGACTGTATTGGAGATAGACTAGCTACAAGTCGACTCTTTAAACCCACATGCAAGCTTGAGCGAAAGCGAGGGGGAGGGAATGTTTGGAAGAGTCAACTTGTCAAACTTTCAATGTTTCTATTCATGTCTTCGTGCCAAAACGGTCATATTACTATGACAATGTGTTCAATCAATTTCGTGATAAATGCTCGAAAGCGTATGGTGCTATCCGTGACTCAAATGCAAGGCTTTTCCCAGCTCCTGTGGGTGCCAAAACGAAGACATCTCTGTTTGAAAGATATGCCTGAACAGTGTTCTGCTGATACTCTTTCAGTTCCGAGTAACCAACAGACTTCTTTGCTTTGTCAATCGCTTCGATAATGGGAGCCATATCAAAGTATTTTCTAATCAAGTGAAATTGGACACTAATATTGACACCTTGATTGACATTTTTATTCATGCTGAATAGTCGAAATGATAATAATAATAATTAATTCAGCGACCTGATTTTGGGTTGCCAAAAATGGCGCGAAGCAAGTTTGACAAATCAACTCTTCTCTGCGTTCCCTTCCCTGGCTTTCGCTCAAGCTCGCATGTGGGTTTAAAGAGTTTACTTGTAGCAAGTCTATAATGGAAACTGCTGGAGCCACAGATGGGTGGTGCATTGGATATTTGGTATGCCTATATTTGAAAATTCTAGACCTCTTCCTGCATGTTGTATAATGAAATCAGGAAGAGGTATTCATCCCCAAGTACAACTGGCTATAAATCATCCCAACAGAGAACAAGATAAAAGGCACTTGTATATACATACATAATCTAGGTATAAACGTTTTATTGTATATAAAAATATATTACATATATTACAATTACTTACATATTTTTTAAACTTTAATCATTTTGTTGTTGATGAGCTGTTGTTGATTGTTGATGATTAGACAAGTACCTTTTTGATGCTCCTTCATTGGCTCTCCACTCTTTTTGCAACATTTCCCTTGCGCTTTTGCCCCTGTTTTTTTCTGGTGCTAGCCTTTTCTCTCCTGATCAATGTTTCTTGAGTTTCAACTAAATTAAGTATATAATGTCTAATTTTTACTTATGAAATGCACCATTGACACATTATGGTATAATTTAGCTAGGCATAAAATTGTTAGATCAGAGAGAACAATCAGTGTTAAAATGAAACACAAGAGGTCTCGTAGGTTGAAAATATATACCAAGATTTATCTGAAGGAAATAATTTAGTTGTTTTCCCTTTTCTCTGTGCCTGGTTTCTAATGGCTTCCTCTTTAGTTCTGCAATTTGAGAACTGGCTTGTTATACACCAATTATACAAGGATTTATGACACTTCACTAAAGCATTTACATACCATAAATTGTGCTGGGACAGCAATCTACCTGACCATTTCTTCCCCTAATTTGAACTTTGGGTATGTTACTCTGATATAAGGAGTTCCTTTTTCTGAGGTTTTGGTCTCTCTGTGGAAATTTTCATTAGTGTAGGCATGCTATGATGTGTCTAAAGGCAAACAATAAAATATCAATTGTTTTGAGCATACCAATTGGAAGCAAGGTACCTCATTTGTACATACCTGCAATATGTCCCCAACCATGAGAAGCATATCATCTTAGGATGCCAGTGATTTAGCACTGAATGAAACCCTTCCAATGAGCTGGTTTGGACTACGGATGAAAGCTTCTTAATGTCTTTTACAAGGGTTTTCTTTGTTAAAATATTATTTAGCTTCTAATAGGGTTTTCATCCAAAAAATGTAAGTTAAAATACCTACTCAATTATTTTGTACACATTCTTGAACAGAGGCGGATCTAGGATTTTTTGCACGTTAAATTTCCCCCCCGGAATAATGACATTTCAAAAATTATCAACTTGTCATCTGAACGCGAAATTTATACAAAAATTATACGGCGAAAAGTAGGCATTAAAATGTTAACATTTAAATGTTTACTGAGCCTTCAGTTTTAATAGCAGAAGCATGTGAGTCCAAGTAACAGGCAATAATAGGAAATTACACCCATGGGCATGGAATAAAAACACAAATGTGGTCAGTTTGTAAGACTGACTGAATAATATTCATAATTGTTTAAGCATAAGCTAGTATTGCTCCAAGCTATGCTACATGCCAAATATAATATGTGCTTAATGCCGCTTACACTTTACAGTAAATATCACAGTTGGGCAATATTGTTTATAATGCTTTATGATTCATAATTGCCATTTGGTGGGTAATCATGATTGTGTTGTACTTTTTGACATAAACATGGATTACATGATTTTACAAATATATAAATCTTCTTTACACGCCTAGATCTAGTATTATGCATATAGGCTGTTTGTTAGACGTAAATTCATACAGTAAATCCTGGTTGATACTTGATACAAATAAACAATACAATAATCGACCTTATGACCGAACAACGACGGGCGAATGCAAATATATGCTAATACAGAACCACGCTCAAATATACAGTTAACATAGCATATAGGACTATAGTTTATACGAACTTATAGGAGTATTGTTTATATGAACATCAACATCAATTTTACCTTATCTCGGTAACGGAATTATCCATATTACTCGACAAGACGACAACTGAAAGCTATTCAACATATTCGCAATTTGTAGTGTGAACTTCCTAACAAAGATCTGTATTAGGCCTTGCAGGAACCTCAAATCATTGTGATGAAATGCCATTTTGTAAAATAAATATTCGAATTCGTATAAATGGCGAGATTGAGCAGTAGAATCCAACAGATTTTTAAAAATATCTGCTGTCAAACATCCAGAAATTTTTCAATATTCCTTATTTACTTGAGAATGATATATTTTTTCCTTTATGTCAAATAAAGCAAACCAATAAGAAATCAATATTTTTCTTTCACCAGCCAATGGGAAAGCTTAAATTTGGCGATTGAGTCAGACCCCCGCAAAGATAAGGCAAGCCAATGAAGCACCAGTATTAGCCCTCCACCAGCCAATCGGAAACGCTTTTGAGTGCTTCTGAAAAATTGCGCAGATGAGTCAGACCCCCGCAAAGATGAGTCAAACTCATTCTAAGCCAATCAAATGCCTAGAATCAGAAGTAGATGAGGCAAAATTCAAGCGGCTATCCGCTATTATGACTCATTTGCCGAGGGCTCAAATATCAGTGACCAGCAACTGCATAAAGCTTCATAATTTTTAACTGGACTGTTAATTATCGAATGACTATTTTCGCTGACTGAAGTTTAAATATTTCGACTTGGACTTGTATATTTTTTTACTTAGTCGCGTGACTCATCTGACAACCCCTAGATCCACCCCTGTTCTTGAAGGAATAGTGGTACATTTTTACTAACCAACTTTAATTCACTTCTTAGTTTCTGTAATATCACCATGATGACACTTGTCATACAATGCATTTGGATGCCTGTCATGCTCGTTATTCACATGCCCTATAAATGACAACCACTTTGCCTCTATGAGAGATGAAAACCCAGCTTTGGTAGATGTAGCACACCAGTATAAACGATTCTTGATGGATTTAGCCCATTCTACTAATATTTCAAACCCTTCTCCTTGGTAGCTTTTAAAACCTTCTTCACCGTAGACTTTGCCTGCTGCCATATGTTGTAGTAATGAGTGGTATCTCTCTGCATGGTTCTCATCCACTTACCTATATCACAATGACAATTGGACACAAATGTGTCAATTGGAAGGTTTTCCTTGCCTTTTATCGCATCAAATGAGCCTTTGGCCCCTTCTAACTCCATTTTATTGCTGCTTCCAACCTTGTTAGCCTATAACCAATTTTGGTGTTTGGGTGGTTAAAACGGTCATAATATACAGAACAACAAAAGACATATTTAGATAAAAACCATACCTGAAGTAGTTCAAAATGTACCAGTTTAGTCAAATTACAATTCAACATGGTGTAACGTCCATATTTCACACTGTGTCCCATGCTATCAAATCTACCGTCTCCAGCCCAAACACTGTCTTTTATATCTTTTATCTGGCTTACTAAAAATACTTCAAGATTTTTCCCAATAACTGTAGTATCAATGGAAAGATAAATTTTCTTTGATGATAGAAAAAGATTCTCGTGCAGTATATTTTAAGTCCTAAGTGTCTGAAGAGTAGAAGAACTTTGCTAACAGAGGATCCAGACATGGGAATTGTGAAGTTCAGCCAAATATTGCCAGCAGGATGTTTTCCTAACACTAATGGTTGGCTTCTCCATGCGTAAGTCCCTTTGCATGATTTACAACAGTAGCAATATGTCAAAATAATATTTCTGTATTTTTCAAAGTATTTTATAAATTATTCACTGATGCTGCATGTAGCATTATCCAGAACTGAAATGAAAACTGAGACGGAAAGAAGAATCCTGAGAAGAAACCGACATTATTCCCCAAATAATTTATCGGTTTAACAATATATTGCAGCCATGAGCGTGATCATTGCAGTAATTCAAACATCAAT